GAGATGTGTCACCTGAACTTAGGAACCATCAACAGCTCTTCTTTGCTTCTGAAGACAAGATATATTTGAGTGAGCTTTGCCCCTGCAGGCAGCGCGGCGCCCCTTCGCCTACCTGCGGACGCCCGCCCGAGCCCCGCCTGAGCCCTGGGCGCTCCCCGGCCGGGCCAGGGCCATCGGCCTCGTCAGTGCGAACCTCTGCCTGCTGCCTGAGGGGCTGGCCAAGTTCAGCAACCTGTGGCGGACGCAGTGGCGTGCCACCCACATCGCCCAGAGCCTGGCGTGCACAGCACAGTGCTCCGCCTCCAGTGGCCCCCGTGAGCCCCACAACGGCCCGGCCATCCCACACAGGCTACCCGGCCCCCCTGCCAGAGCCCGGAGCCACCCCCAAGCCAACATGACCGTGGAGCTGCCCCTCATGGAGAGGGAGGCAGGGACGGCGGCGGCAGTGGCGAGGGCCAGTGGGCCCCGGGAGATCTCTACCTGCTTCCCCTCCAACGTGGACTTTCTGTGCCTGCAGGAGGTCTTTGACCCACGGGCCTCCGCCCGCCTGTGCCAGCTGCTCAGTCCCCATTTCGAGCACATCGTCTATGACGTGGGCACCTACGGCCTGCAGGCCTGCTCCGCCCCGAAGCTGCTGAACAGCGGGCTCTTCCTGGCCAGCCGCTACCCGCTCTTGGCGGTGGAGTTCCACTGTTACCCCAATGGCACCGGCGAGGATGCCCTCTGTGCCAAGGGCCTGCTGTGTGCACAGGTGAGCCAAGCCCAGGTCCTCCTTGCAGCAGTAGACGCATGAGTGGGCTCCGGAGACTTCAGCCTGGCAGGCCCTGAGGATCCTGCTCTCCTCCAGTCCACGCCATCCTGTTGCAGCCTGGTCTCACTAGCCTGCTTGAAGCAGAGTTTGCCCCACAGCCTGCCCGCTTAGACCTGGCCCTTCCCTTGCACCCCACAAGTGGTGTGGATGTGGTTGTGCAAGGGCGGGCTGTTTAGCTTCCTCCATAAGTGGGGGGGCAGGCCCTCGTAGGAAGCAAGGGGTCCTTGGGGTGGCTTCTCCTCTCTTGGACTCCCCCGGAGACCCGGCCTGAAAGTGGGGCCCAAATACGCCCTGGGGGGAGAGCACGGCATGACGTTGCAGCTGGCTGGGGCTGGGTCAGAGCAGAGCACTGGCTTGCGCTACTTCTGGGCCTCGATGCCACGGGGGGGGAGTAAGGGTACCACGCCTGAGACTCCTGGCCAGCCCTTGCCCAGGGAAGGCTGGACCCTGGGTGGCTGGGGCTGGGGCGGCCACCGTGGCGCTTTGTGTGCAAGCCTAAGCCCCTTGCTGACTGGCCCCCCAAGCATTCCCTGCAAGAGGGAATGAAAACCCTGTGCAAATGAAGCTCCCCGCCTCGTGGGCCCCTCGTCTCTTCTTTGGCCCTTTCTTGCCTCGTAGGGGACCTCCTCTGCACGGTCCTGCTTACAATTCCCCAAGTCTGGTTAGACCATAGATTAGTACAATGCCATGATACCAGCGTGATGTTCCGTGTCTGAAGCTGCCTGAGGGCCACTGATGTCCTTGACACACCGGGGCCCCCGCGGGTCTCTCCACTGCTGGCCCATCGCGTCAGGTGTGCTGTGAAGCTCTTCAACCCGAGGGGGCAGCTTCTCCTGGAAAGCCTCCCCACATCCCACGGAGGCTCAGCCTGCCTCTGCTTCCTGCTTTGCCCACTCAGGTGCAGCTGGGAGCTTGCCAAGGGCGAAGGGTCGTTGGATATCTGAGCTGTACCCACCTGCAAGCCCCGGAAGGTAAGGGAGTCAAGGCAGGAAGGGGGGCTCGAAGGGCAGAAGTGAAACGTTCCAGGAACGATGCGCGGCAGCCAGAAAGCCCCGGGGGCTACCAAGGCAGGAAGGGCTGCGAAACAAGGGTCTGGGGGTCTTCCGGTGGCTGAGGGCAAGTGCCTGGAAGGGGGTCCTCCCAGAAGAGGGAGTGGATGTAGTCCCCCTCGGTCCAAACTGCAGGGAAGGAGGCACAGGCTGGGTGTCCCGAACTAGTTCTACAGCCGCTCCACCAGTGGTGAGCTCGCCTTCACTGGAGGGCTGTGAATAGGGGCTGGCTGGTCCTCTGCCAGAGAAGCACTGAGCAGGGGTTGGGCCAGGTGGTCTCCGGGGCCCATTCCTATTCTAGGATTCTGTGATGGCTGCCCAATGTCTTCTACCCAGCTCAATGGCTGTCAGCCTCTGATGGCCAGAGGAAGTGTGGTAGCGAAGTGGAAAAATGGGCTTCCCGCTGTCCTGACTCCTTGCTGTGGATGTCTCTGTGTCTCCCTCTTCCCCAGAAGGGACTCACCTGCTCGCCATGAGATCTGCCCTGCCCTGTCTGAATGACTTGGGGCGAGGGGGTGGGGGGCACACTGGGGGGAGTATCTGCCCTACGGCTCTCTCGGCCTGTTGGGCAGTCTTCCAAACCAGGGCCTCCCTGCCTCTGGTCCGGTGGCGTCCCTGCGCTGGAAGCAGAGGGCCCAGGTGAGCCTGGGATGCTCAGCCACTGGGGTTTGGCGTAGCCCTGAGGCTCAGGTGGCTGCCGTCTACTTCCCACAGCTGACGGCCCGATCCGGTACGACCAGCTCAGCCTTAGTCTGCTTTGGGTGCAGCTCTTCCAAGACTCTCACGCGCAGCCAGGGGACGTGGTAGCCTTTGACATCTACTGTGGGGACCTCAACTTCGACAATTGCTCTCCAGGTGGGTGTCGTGGAGGGAGCTGCAGAGCACAGAGGGGGCCCCCGCTCGCTTGCCTTTCTCATGCACCTCTTTCTCCTTAGGCAATGAGAGGGAACAAGGCCACGAGATCTTCAGCCTCTACACAGACCCTTGTCGCATCTGTCCTCGCAAGGACAAGCCTGGGGCAATCGGTGGGTGATCCCCCACCCCATTTTCTCTCTCCCAGCGGTCTCTCTGGAGCCTTACCTTGGGGTCACGGGGCATGTGGTGGCTCCTGAGCTCTCCTGCCACAGGGCGGATCCAAAGGGACTGGAGCAGGAGCGGAAGGGTGGGGCGGCTGGTCTTTTCCCCTAGCCTGTGCCTGGCGGGTGACTGGAGGAAGCAGCTCTGTGCAGGATAGGAAGGGTGCAGGGTGTGGATGGGAGGCCAGAGCAACAACTCCTGCATTTCACAGGGACGCTGATGAACTCTCTGCGCATCTATGATGAGGCTGTGGCCACCCCAGAGAAGCTGAAGAGGTGAGGAGTCTTGGTCCACGTCCATGAATGTCGGGCTTGGGAACAGGGAACCCTGCTGAATGACCTGTCAAGCTGGCTTCCTTCCGGGGTGGGGGCAGGAAGCTGTGCCTGACCTGACACCAACCAAGTCAAGGTCTGTTCCCCCCCCACTCCCCCATCAAGTCAACTCTGACTCCTGGCAGCTGCCTGGACACGTCCCTCAGTTTCCTTGGCAAGGTTTTCGAAGCAGCTTTGCCCTCGCCGGCATCTTTCTGGGACTGAGAGAGGGTGACTGGCCCAAACCGCCCCAGTGCCTGAAGCAGGACTCAGGCTCGCTGCCTCCCAGGTCTAATTGAGGCCTTAAGCAAACCTTTCCCAACGGACATGGTCCAACTCCCAGATGAGCCTCTGACAGGGGCTCCTCTTCATACGGAGGTGATGGGCTCCTTGGGCGAAGCTTGTAGTGGGCTGGTAGGGGCTGCTTCTGGTCTCCTCAGAAGCCACGGCCGGCACTTGGAGGAGGAAGAGAGGATTCCGTGAGCAGAGGTGCCTGAACGACCAGGTGGGCCTGAACCGGGAGAAGCGCTGCTCTGTCTCCGGGTCAGAAGAACGAAGGGCCCGAGTCTGGGACAGAGGCGACCCGGCTCGACAGCAGTGTCTGTGAAAGGGCCTGGGGGTCCTTCTCGACCACACGCTGAATGTGAACCGGCAGTGTGATGCTGCTGCTGCTAAAAAGGCCAGTGCTACCTTGGTCAGGAGCACAGAGTCTGTGTAATCGGGAACAATTGGTCTGCTCTCTTCTGACCTGGCCAGGTCCAGTGTCCAGCTTTGGCACCCCTGCTCAAAAAAGACAGCGACGGGTTGGCATGTGTTTGGGGGGCAGGGCTACCAAGATGGTGACAAGTCTGCAAACGAAGTGAAGGGATTTGCACGGGGTTAGCCTCTGAGGCAAAGACGGGGAGATAGGAAGGGGTGTCACGCTGAAGAGCGAATGGATTTATGTGCCATTGCCCCAAAGGGCAGGGCCAGAACCAGCACACGGAAACTACAAGGAGGAGGGTTAGGCTGGAGACCAGGAGCCTCCCAACTGCATGAGCCGTTAGCCAGTGGAAGCGCCCGCCACGTGAAGCGGTGAGTCCTCCTTCACCAGACGTCTTCGAACAGGGCCTGGAGAGCCTCCTGTCCAGACTGCTTTTGCTCATGTTGCACCCTGCTGGAGGCTGAACTAGATGACCTCTAGTCCCTCCCAAAACCGCGGTTCTATTTATTTATTAGATTTGTTAAGGCTGCCCAGCCCCAAAAAGACTCTGGCTTTGCTTCCAGGACTCTGGAGAATCCGGAGGAGCGGACGAAGTACCTGGCGGGCCCCATCCTGGCCGATGGTGGTTCCGACCCCTCGGCACCCTGGGGCAAAGAAGGGCGGCGCATCGATTACACTCTTTACCGGGAGCACCCGGGCCCTGTGGCGTTGCAGACAGTGAGTTGGGCTGCCGGAGAGCCTGTGGTCAGCTGGGGAAGACAGGAAAGCCCTTCCCAGTGGGGCCAAAGTGGCCGTGCTCAGGGAGCCGAGTGTCCAGAGGCCTCCCCTGGTCTTCTGGGCTGCAAAAGCTGCTGCTTCTGAGCGAGGGGGAGCACATCAAGAATAAGGGAGGGGGCCATGCGGTTTAAATCCGGGGGGACCTGCTGAGCAGCTGGGGGGTGGGACAACTGCCAGTCTGGGCAGGCTGTGGTGGTTGGGATGGCATTGGCTGAGAAGACGCCAGAGACCCCCTGGGCTGGCTTTCCACGGGGGGCTCCAGGCAGAGATGCACATTTTGGTGGAGCCGGTGATGAGGCAGGGAGTCCGGGGTAACCGGGGGGTGGCAAGAAGGGGCTGGATCCGTGGCCTCCTGGGAGCAGCCCAGGGAACTCCCAAAAGGACGAGCCGCCAGAGCTTCCTTCTCACCCAGGCGTGCGCTTGATCTGACGGCCCCCCCCTGCCACTCCAGCAGCCGGAGGACCTAAAGGAAAAGGAAGGGCGGAGAGCTGGCGCAGGGAGAGGGTCCCGGCACCACGCCCCATGTGCCGAAGAAGGGCCCCGGGAGCACCAGTCGAAGCAGGGTTGGGCAAGGCAGTCCAACAAGGGCCGCCCCCCCGTTGGCACCAGGCAGCGTCGCCGTGGAACCTTGGCAAAGGAGCGGAAAGCCCACCAGGGAGGCCTCCTCCTTGCCAGCCCACTCTGCTCCCGGGAGCAGCCCTGCTCTCTCTTTTCCTCACGGAAATGGGCTCATGCAACTGGCGGTTCTTTATCTGCTCTGATCGCCTCGCTGTGCTCAAGTCACAAAAGCCGCCTCGTTGTGCGGAGCGCCAGATCTCTGGGGTCGGAGGGATACTGCTCTCTTTCTTCGCCCTCTTGACGTGCTCAGTAGTCGCTTTCTCTGTTGAGTCCCATGAAGCCCCTTAAGCCGACTTGACCCCACTCGCGTTTTCACCGCCGGTAACCAAGCCGTCAAGCCTAACGCTGCGCACTGGTTCATCAGAGCTGCCTTCTCTCGCAAGGCAGCCCCTGCTCGTAAAGAGGAGCTTTCCTCGCACAGAGATCCCTGGGTCTGCCGTGGAAGCTGGGCTGAGAGCGTCTGGTGCCGCTGGGGAGAGCCCAGTTGTCTGAACACGCTGCTGCTGACCCAGCCGAGGATGCGGTTGGTGTTTTCCTGGGATCTGCTGGGTGTCTAATTCTGCCAGGAACGGCACGTCCCCCAGAATGCTTGACCTCCCACCCTGCCCCCTCGGGGCTGGTTTCCCCGCTGGCCAAAGACCTGGGTGGGGGGGTACAGAAGGCCAGGAACCCAGTCCCCCCCCCCCCGAAAAAAACAGCCATGCAGATGCCTTCCAGCAAGTTGGCTGACTTTCTCAATCCCAAACGCTAAGGCAATGGCTCTCTCTCTTGCTTTCACGCCCACGCAACTCCTTGGAGGGATTAGAAGGGAGGGAAATGAGTGGCGGTCTCCATAATAACAGGGATCCCACGTCCACCATGGCAGATTTCCCCTCCTTCCAGAAGGGGAGAGAACAAGAAGCAACGTTCCCCTTGCCCCTCTGGCTTTCAAAGGGCCCTGTGGAAGGTGACAAGGAGAGTGGGAAGGGGGGGTGCCTGGGAAGGGCTGCAGGAGGGCTGGGGAAGCGTGAGAGCGGCGCTCCACCGCTCTCTGGGGCTCTTGAGGCTCCAGCCGGGGCCAGCTGGGGAAGACCGAAGGCTTGGCTAAATGTGAGGAGTGAGTGCTGCGAGCAGTCGCAGGCCGATGGCCTCTGGGCCCAGGGAGTTTCTTCTCGGAGGGCTGAAGCAGACGGTGCAGCAGCGGCAGCAGCCTCCGCACTGCCGAGTCCGCCCTGAGCAGGACGCGGCCGGCCCCTGGGGTCCGCTCCAGCTCAGTGACCGCCTGAAATCCTTCAGGACTCGGGATTTTACTGTCCTTACACGTGGTCCGGGCAGCCGCTCTGGCTCCTGGCTCTCAGTCCCGCCTTGGGCCTGCTGCATGCCCGCTCTAACCCCCTTGCTGTTGTGTCCCCCCTTTCCTCCCAGGCGGTGGAGAAGGTCGTCTTCATCACCCAGTTGGCCACCTGCTCGGATCACTTGCCCGTTGGACTGCGGCTGCTTGTGTCTTCGGTGGCGGAGCCGGAAGCGTGAACTGGTAGCCCTAGTGTGGAAGGACCCACCGTGATGTGCGGGTGAACTGAAGCCCCAGCTTCAGGGATGGGAAGCAGTCACGGGCAGGGCGAGGGCAAGCAGTTACTTAACCAGAAGCTGAGCAGGGAGCTTTGTGATGGCTGAAGGGCTGGCATGATTGCAGGTGCTGGAGAAGTGGCCTACTGCGGTCTCCCGTACCCAGCGGCTGGTGAAAAATAAGTGCTGCCCCAGGTCAGCTGGGACCATCAATCCAAAGTCCTGAGTCCTCTGTCCAAGAGGTGAACCCACGTGTCTGAGCTGCCCCTTCTTAGTCCTCCCCCCATCTTGGCCCTCCAAGAAAAGGCTGCGTGAAGACAGCCGAGGCTGAGACGAGATGGGGCAGGGTGGAGAGCGAGATTGGACCGTGCTTGGCGTGGCCTGTTCCGCATCCAGGTTATGCTGGTTATTGAAGGGCCGGTACAGAATTTTGGCTGGAGAACTGGAGTCTCCCCACCCATCAAATCAGTATTTTTTCACAAGGTGCAATTTCAGTTTCGTAACTATCACCCAAATGTTGTCAGCCTCCCAAGATAAAAATCTAACCACCCAGATTACACATTCTGTGTCAGGCATGTATAGAACTGAATGTTTCAGCAACATCTGAATTGTTTCCAAGAAACAGAAAGGCCCCAAATATAATAATTTACTGCATTTGAGCAGAACATTTCTGTGGTGGTCTTAATTTGTGGCACCGTTCAGGCATGCGGAAACGCGCCCTCTTGAGCTCCTTGGGGCTCCAACCCTTTAACACTTCAGCTGGGCATGAGGCTTGAGGCGGTCCTGTTGGAAAGGAGTCGCTTCCTGGTGCCTTTGCTGTTGACTCTGTGTCAAACTTCTTGAGTAAACATCTTTGCAGCCGGTTGGCACAAAAGGCTGATCTCTTGTGGGGCAGGGTGCAGCGTGCAGCTCTGGGAGGGCCTTGTGCTGCTGGGGGGAGCATCCACTCCCCCTACAGAACCGTGCGCAGGGCTTGGTACGGATTCCACCGCCTCCGGGGCAGGCAAGCGAGGAGCAGAAGCGCAGAGAGGAGAGATGCAATGCTTGCTACCCAAATTAAATGTGGGTGCCAGCTCGGAGCGCTGCTGCTAAAGGGCTGGGGAGAGTTCGGGGGGCCTGCTCTGCCCAGCTTTCCTGGCCTTTTTGGAGCCCGGAGTGCTGCCACCAGTTTCTTCCCACATGACTGGGCCTCTCCTGGGCTGGCTTTTGTCCACTGAAATCAGTCGCCCAGCAATTGCAGCGTCCCAGTTAGGGCTCTGCTGTTTCTGGGGAGACGGGCCCCAAACGCCAGAAGTCGGGGAGGGTCCCAGCGGTCTTCCCTCAGTTGCAAAGCAAGCAGGTCCCAGAGAGCGAGCCCTGGTCTCCTGCACCCAGAGGGGTCAACAGCAGGAGCCCCCGGGTACCTTGCTCTTGTCCAGAACGTTGACCGAAGATGGTTTGAGCGTGCGTGTGCACCAGCAGAAGACCCCAGGTGCAGAAAGCACGGCGTTGGCGGTACAGGAAGTGAGGTAACTGCAGTAAGGAACACGGGTGCCTTCACCATGTGAAACCATTAAAGGGACATTCCTAGGAAAGAACCCTATTGTGGAGCTGAGCCCAGGTTCTGGGCTGACCCCGAATTTACAGCTGGAAGAGGCTGGGAGGCTCAGCATCGGACTCCCTTGAGTCCTGCCTGTCTGTAATCAGTTGGCCGCCACCAGATGCAGATTGGCAAAAGAATTAAAATTCTGAAAGGGGTTCCGTGAGAGGCGCAGAGAAGCACATCCGTGAACCTAAAGAAACCTATGCGCAGTACTTTACCTAGATAGGTAAACATAAGCAGGGTTGCAAAGTTGGTTAAAGCCAAATTCTTCTTCCACCTCAGCATGCTCCTGTTTTTGTTATCCTGATGTAGCCCCAAAGCACAGGAAGGAGGGGGCTGATAACCGCCAAGGGGATCTCTTGAGCCCCCTCCCTTTTCTGCAAGTCCTGGCAGACAAGGCATGCAGGAGAGGCAAACTGGAATTCAGGAAGAACAGCAGGTGAGGCGTGAATAGAGCAACCACGTGGTTATTAACGGCACAGAAAGGCAGGAAGGAAGGATAAGTCCAGCTGAAGAAATCACCAACGTCAGCACGGGGCAATAGTGGGGTGGTTGCTGGGGGTGGATGTCAGCCTCCACTTCCACCCTGCTGCGTGTGCTTGGCCGTCAACAACTTGCGCATCCCCTCAGTGCAGCCTGGGGTGTCCAGCACCCCCCACTTCACCCTGCAGGGCATGACTCGCACCAGCCTCTCCCACGTGTCTCACCCAACAGCAGCAGCGTTTTCCAAAAAGGGAGCCGATGAACGGGGCCAATGTCTGATGCCGGAATAAACCAGGAATTCCATTCCACCCCCCGAAAGCGATGCTCGTCGCACGGCAAACGAACCTCACCAGGGAGGGCGGCATCTGGAGGGAGGCTTCCCGTGAGGTTTCCAGGGGATATTCTGAAGGCCTTTCGTCCACCCATCATGTACGGCCCTTCGTGGACAGGGAGGTGCAGAGCCAAGCAGTTGGTCTGGGCCCAGACCAGAGCAGGCAGCAGCTGGCCAAGATCATCTGGGCAGTGTTCTTGACCCCTTTAGGGGTGGGCACAGGTCTGAGCTGTTCGCCACAAGAATCCACGGTGGGGCAGACGTCTATCATGGTGAAGGTGATGAATGACCGGCTTTCCTGGAGACGGTTGGCCCCCAGTATCCCATGGGGAAGGAAATCAAGATGGTTCCAGCAGCCTTGCAGAGAACCAGCCATGCACCCCCAAGAGGTGGTCCCTAGTAAGGGATGGGCAATCCGAGCCTGTCACTGGTGCAGCGGTGCAAAGGGGATTTTGCTCCAGAAGTTTTATGGATAGAGAATTGAGGGGTGCAGCAGCAGTCAGGACACTGGGCTGGCCAGGATGGCAGGTCAGGCGCATCGACCACCAGGAGGCCATACATGACCTGGACTTGTTGGGCGTACGTAGCCAGATGTTATTCTATGGGATTCAAACTCGTTACGGGGAATTGAACTCACAGACCTTTGCCCTTGAGATGATTACATGCAGTGCGTCCGCTTTAGTGGGACTCTGACATCAACAAAGCCGGCGTGTGGACCAGACACTGGGAAAGCTGGCGTCTGGGCAGCCTCCTAGTCTTCATGGCTGTGAAAGCCGTGTCCCTCCAGGTGGGTTGTTCCTGTCATCCTTTGCTGGAGAAAGCCATCTTGGACAGGAGCAAATGCTCTTGCAGTGCGAAGGCTGCTGCTCCACAGTGGCTGCGGGCGACAGAGGCGGCAGCGGGTGAGGTGGTGTTGGCCCCTCTGCCTTTTGCCTGCGTCCCACTGACCCTGGCATCTGCTAAGCAGGCACCTTGGACGCATGCCCAGGGGAGCAGCCGAGCATGCAGCAGGGTGCACTGCTGACTGAGCCTGGAACCAGGTAGCCACGAGAACATCCAGGCCAAGCTTTCCCCCCCCCCCCCCATCCGCAAAGGGTCCTGGAGACTCATCGGCTGCCTGCACGAGCAGCAGTAAGTACAAGTCAGCCAACAGGCACGCACAGCTCCATGATGCCAAAGGACGGGCAGGCTGAGAAGGGACCGGCGAGTGCCCACACCCCACACCTTCTCTCCTGGGTGTGCCACGCACTCTTCCTCTTTCTCGGCTCCTTTTCTTCCAGGAGGACTGGGTTTGAAGGACAAGCCACCCGGTATTTTGACCTTTTAGGAGTGCCTCTTTGGGACTATCAGGCAGGTCACGGTGGAGGCCTCAGGCCCATCTCCTCTGGGGGAAAGAGCTGCCTGGGGCGCCCTGGAAAGGCCTGCTGTCCCCACAGGGCACACCCGGGGGATTTCCTTCCAGTGAGTTGACGCTGTGCAAATACACAGATGCGCCCCCACCCACAAGAGCCCATCAGGGATAAGCCTTCAGAGAGCTTGGCATGGCCTCGCCTCCATTAAGGTGCCCATAAAGCGGCGACGAGGCCTCCACTTATCAGATTCTTTATATGGTTTTAACAAATCACTGTGGAACACCGGGTCAATTTTACTGAGGTTCTTTGTCAGTTTAAGGCGTACTGACACTGGATTAATCACCTTATCAATTTCAAAAGGCCCAAGATATTTATAACTTAGTTTTTTGGATGGTTGTGGTGATTTCAGGTTCTTAGTTGAGAGCCAGATTTTATCTCCCACTTTCCATTTTTCTTCCGGCACCGTTTTCTTGTCTGCTTGTTTTTTGAAGCTTTCTTTCACTTTTGCTAATGCCTTCTCTGTAATGGGCCATAACTCTCTTAATTTATCTGCCCATTCATCAACTGAGTCCACTCCTGTTTTATCATGAGGCAATTCCAGAATTGGTACAAAGTCCTGCCCTGTGACAATTTTAAAAGGTGAATAACCTGTGCTATCATGCACAGCATTATTATATCCGACCTCTGCATATGGTAATAAATCAACCCAATTGTCTTGTTGGCAATTAACAAAACACCTTAGGTACTGTTCCAACCCGACGTTCCTCCTCTCAGAAGCCCCGTCCGTCTGAGGATGAAAACTGGAACTCAGAGCTTGTTTTGACCCCAACAATTTTAAAAATGCCCTCCAGAATTTGGAGGTTAACTGGACCCCCCTGTCGCTGATCACCCTTTCAGGACATCCATGAAATCTGTATATGTGTTGGATAAACAAAGCTGCCAATTCTGGGGCTGATGGAATTGCCTTGCAAGGTGTAAAATGTGTCTGTTTGGAAAACAGATCCGTTACTGTCCATATCACTGTTTTCTTTTTACTCCATTCCAATCTCTTTCCAGGGCCTAGGTGGGTTTGCTACAGGCTGCAGTAGCCCTCGTGGCTTGCCCCCTGCCTCTTTGCCATAGCACACGTGGGGCAGGTGTTAAGATAATCTGCCACGTCTTTCCTAATAGATGGCCACCAAAATTGCCTTCGAATAAGATGGAGGGTTTTCACAAATCCAAAGTGCCCAGCTGTTTTATTGTCATGGCTCCTTTCCAACACCTCATTTCGAGCCTCCAGCGGCACATATAGTCTATCTCCTTTCCACCATGCTCCCTCTCGCTCTTCTAACAGGGGTTTATTCTGTAAGAACCATTCATCCTTGGTTAGGAAAGAGTTAATTTCTTTTAACAGCCCCGGGGCCGGAAGTTCGGCTTTCTTGCTTTGTGACCTGGTTACAGCAGCCAATGCTTCCTGGCTGGTCGGAATGACTCCGATGCTACTTTCTCCCTTTGGCTGTTGTGTCGGGGTAAGCGCGAAAGTGCATCCGCCAAGAAGTTTTCCCCCCTGGAATGTACTTTAATGTGAACTTAAAGCGGCTAAAGAGTTGTGCCCATCTCACTTGTTTGGGAGACAGTTTTCTGGGAGATCGTAAGGCCTCCAGGTTTTTGTGATCTGTCCACACTTCAAAAGGAAGCTCTGCCCCCTCTAGCAAACGCCTCCAGTTCATCAAAGCCCACTTCACTGCAAACGCCTCCTTTTCCCACACTAACCATCTTCTTTCTGCTTCATTAAACTTTTTAGAAAGGTAAGCACATGGGTGCAATAACCCCTCATCATCCTTCTGTAACAACACCGTGCCAGTGGCTACATCTGATGCTTCTGCCTGAATTACAAAGGGCTTTGTGGTGTCTGGGTGCTTCAGGATGGGTTCAGCC